TCTGGGGCACGCCCTCTCCTCTGGGGCACGCCCTCTCCTCTGGGGCATGCCCTCTCCTCTGGGGCATGCCCTCTCCTCTGGAGACTGAAGAAGTCCATTGGATGACGGACAAAATGTCTCAGCACAAAAAAGAAACTGTCCAGATTAGGGCTGAACAATTAACTGCATTTGTGGTAATATCGCAATATGATAACACGAGATTTTCTAATTGCAAAGGCTGCAATTTGACTGGTCAGGTGATCTGGTCACGTGACTTGCGAGTGAGCCGAGCGGAGTGGAGCAGAGCAGAGCAGAGCAGGGAGCGGAAGAAGTCATCGCTGGGCTTTAACCGGTTGCACAACGGTGTCAGGCTCGACAGAAGCTGATACATCAGAAAGTTTGGTACCAAAGAGGGGCAGCACGTCCGTTGTTTGGAATTATTTTAGCTATAAAAAAAGAAAACGCTGCACAACGACATGTGTTGTGCAGAACCTGCCTTGCTGCTGTTGCTACCTCTCCAGGTAACACATTTACGATGGTTGCATGACAAGAATACAAACGACCAGTGCTTCAACTTCAAGTAAGCAAAGTAGCAGCCGACAGGGATCACTGACCGAACTGTTCGAAGGTTTTACTCCATATGAACATAATCGAAACGACACGTGGAAATAACTCGAGCAATAACGGAGTTCATAGCGAAAGACATGATGCCCATTAATATAGTGACCAAGCCTGGGGTTACGGCTTTGGTAAACACAATGGATACGCGGTACAGAACGCCCTCACGCACACATTTTAGCCAAGTTGCTACCCCAGAGCGAGTTGCAGCGGAGCTGAAAACTGTGGTTTTTTTGCACATGAAACAGATTTATTGCTTGTGTTCATTGAAAAATACACGAGAAGAAGACATTGAAAAGTAACCGCATATTAAATAGCAATTAGAATGTTTTCCAAAATCGTTCAGCCCTTGTCCAGATGACCTGACTGAACATTGTTGGACTGTACACTGCCTGGCCAAAAAAAAAGTTGCCGCCTGGATTTAGCTAAGCAAATAGGAATGAACTTCCTGTTGGATAATTACAGCATGGGCGATTATCTTTCAGCTGCAACAAGTTATTTAACCCCAACTGGTGCAATGAGTTGCTTCTCATTTCTTAAACAACCATGTCGAAAGACACATCGCGTGGTCGTGGAAAAGACGTCAGTCTGTTTGAGAAGAGTCAAATCATTGGCATCAAGCAGAGAAAACATCTAAGGAGATTGAAGAAACTAATAAAATTGGGTTAAGAACTGTCCAACACATTATTAAAAACTGGAAGGAGAGTGAGGACCCGTCGTCTTCGAGGAAGAAATGTGGCCGGAAAAAAAATCCTGAATGATCGTGATCGGCGATCACTTTGGTGAAATCAAATCGAAGAAAAACAACAGTATCACTCAGGGCTGTGTTTAATAGTGAAAGTAAGAACATTTCCACACGCACAATGTGAAGGGAACTCAAAGGATTGGGACTGAACGGCTGTGTAGCCTTAAGAAAACCACTAACCAGTGAGGCTAACTGGAAAAAAAGGCTTCAGTTTGCTAGGGAGCATAAAGATTGGACTGTGGAGCAATGGAAGAAGGTCATGTGGTCTGATGAGTCCAGATTGACCCTGTTCCAGAGAGATGGGAGCATCAGGGTAAGAAAAGAGGCAGGTGAAGTGATGCACCCATCATGCCTAGTGTCTAGTCATCACTACAAGATCTTGGTGACAAATTGATGCAACACTGGATGGAAATAGATCTTGTGACATTACAGAAGTTTATCAAAACAATTCAACAGTGACTGCATGCTGTAATCAAAGCTAAAGGCGGTCCAACGAAATATTAGTATGACTTTTTTTTTTTGGCCAGGCAGTGTATACCTGGATTATTGAGTATGAACTTTGGTGAATAACTGCTAGTTTAAGGTACAACATGTTGAGTGCCGAGTGTTCCCGTCACAACCACGTTTTTGCATAAACTTCAAGAACGGCATCCAATTGAATTTACATATGCTTTTTCCTGGCGTTTAAGCATGTCTCTTTGACCGAGAATACTTTTTAAAATTATTATTATTGTAGCATTTCGCATTAGTTTTGATGTAAAGAGCAGAAACTAAATGGAAACATACAGTCAAAAGTTTTACCCAAAGATTATCTGAACGAAGGAGTTGGGGTAATAATCTCAAAGTTCCCTTTTGACCTGATGAGCGTAGCGATAAGATGAGCAGCTCCTCGGACTGGTGGCCGTTACGTTAAACCGCCTAAATGTGTGCTCTAATGAGGTCAACTAGTTCTGGTTAACCTTTAGTTTTTATTGTTTCTTTGTTTTCCAAAGGGATCCACCAAGTCCCTGAACTACATCAAACAGAGGAGCACCCTACCAAGGTAGAGCCATCCCATTCTTTTCATTACAACGTACAGTATGTTGCAAACATTACATCTAATATGTTTCGCCCGAGGAGTTTCACGTTTAGCTGCTGTCAGCTCCAATCTGCGCCCTTTACATTCATCCTCAGACTAATGACCTTCTCTTTGTTGTCAGTGGAAGGTTTAGTGTCACAAATGTGATCCAGCACATGAATGTGATCTGATGTATCCACTTTCTCATTTCCCCCCTCGTCTGTTTCTGTCCGTCAGACTTTGGATGAGGTTTCATGTTGAGCCATTACAAGTATTTTTTTAGTTTTTAAAACCCGTTAGGAGTTTCTGTATTTCTGCATTGCCATAGTTTTGGATATAATCGGATTCTCACAGAAGTCCTTGAAGTAGCACAAAAGACAATCAACTTGTTCATTTACGATTGGGTGAATTATAAATCTCTATTATTAACAATTTAAAAGTGAAATCAGTCTTTATGTGGGCTGTGATGTTTAGAGATCGGTCTTGCACTTGGTTGGATTTTGTTTTTTCTGCATAAAAATAAAAACAAGTACTAAAAGATGCTCAAACAAAACATCAGCTCAGGATGCAGTTCCAGCCTCTCCCAGTTCTTCTGTCTTGTTTCGTCAGGAGCTTCAGTGTGGACCGTGTGATGGAGCGCGTGATGGAGCGCCACTACGACTTCGACCTGACCTACATCACTGAGAGGATCATTTCGGTCTTCTTCCCTCCGAAACTGGAGGAGCAAAGATACCGGCTCAACCTGAAGGAGGTGGCGGCCATGCTCAAATCCAAACACCAGGACAAGTTTCTGGTGAGCAAACGGCAACGACGGCTTTTGAAAACCTGGTTTGTTCGCTGTATTTTGTCTGGTAACTGGTATGATTTTGTTTTTCGTTTTTAGTTGCTGAATCTCTCAGAGCGACGCCATGACATCACCCGGCTAAACCCTAAGGTAGGGCTCCTCGCCGCGTGACGTTTGGGAACGCAGACCACACTCGTCGGTTTTGATCTCCTCAGATCGCCGTCGTTCTCATGTCTCCGTCAACCAACAGGTTCATGACTTTGGCTGGCCCGACCTCCACGCCCCGCCGCTGGATAAGATCTGCGCCATATGTAAGGCCATGGAGAACTGGCTGACCTCTGACCCCCAGCACGTGGTGGTCCTACACTGCAAGGTCAGAGTTCAGGAGGCCGCTGAGCCTTTTTTAGGCAGACTTCCTGTGTTTTCCCAGGCTCTTCAACACACAGATGTGGCTGCGTGCGTCAAAGCTGGTATTACGGATGGAATAGTGTTTATTAAGGAACATTTAGAGAAACAATTATTTAGTGGTCTTATAAAGTGATGTGTGCAAAAAAAATATATGTACAGTTTTTGCACATGCTTGCAGATTGCAGTCCCAAATGAGTAAGAGTTGAAATGATGTGGAAAAATGAGAACTGATAGAAAATGTGAGGCTTGTTGTCCCTTTCACTGCAAACAGAAGGAATCCTAAATGTTTTTATTCTCACAAACTTCATATATTTAAAAATTAAATTCAGTTTATTTATATTTACTACTCTGCTTGGACATTTTAGCTTCTATATCAGTGGAAAAACAATGGGAGCCTTTTTAATAGCCAATCTGTAATTAGGAAATTTACAGTTTTTCTGCTTGTGCCAAATTAATCAGACAATCTATTTGGTTAATAACCGGGATGTGAAATATTTAACATGATTTCTGTTTAAGTCAAAGTATTTCAGCTTGTGTATTTTGATTGCACGAAAGTAGAGCCACAAGAGAAACTAGAGAAATTGTATGTTTTGTGAAAATGCAGTGTGAATTCTTATTGCAGAACTTGCTGAAATTAGCTAAAAAAATGTGCTAAAATGTAGCTGAAATGGAAGAATAAGACCAAATTAGCAGAAGAAAGCAGAAAGAACACATATTTGCTGACAGTGGTGTAAATATTCAGAAATTAGTAGAAAAATTAGGAAAGTAGCTAAAAAAAAAAAAGCTGAAATTAGCGACAAAAAAAAAATAAGGTTGAAAAGTAGCTGAAAGTCAGAAAGAAGCTTAAACTTCAGAAGGAAGCAGAAAGAGCTGGAATTAGCTAAAAATGTGGAATTAGCTGAAAAAGCTAAAATTAGCATAAAAACAGCTAAACTGAAGTAAGTGATGGAAATAGCTGAAACTGGCAATAAGCTGAAAGGAGCATAACAATCAGAAATTAGCATAAAGAAGTTAATTAGTCTGAAAGGAGCAGAAATTAAATTAGTATGAAAATTTTGAATTTATCTGAAAACGGCTGAAAATAGCTAAAAAATATAAATGCTTAAAATGTATTTGAAAAGGTGGAACAAGCTTAAATTAGCAGAAGAAAGCAGAAAGAACACAAGTTTGCCCAGTTAGACTGAAAGAAGCAGAAATGAGCACCAGAAAGTGGAAATTATCTGTAAAAAGCTGAAATTAGCACCAAAAAAAAAAAACAGCTGAAAAGTAGCTAAAAAAGTAGAAAGAAGCTGAAGTTACCTGAACAAAGTTGAGAGCACATTTTTGCTGAATTAGACCGAAAAAAGTTTATATGAGTTCAATAAATGTGGAATTATCTGAAAAAGCTCAAATAAGCATAAAAACAGCTAAACAGTAGCAAAAAATAGCAGAAAAAGCATTAACTTATAAAAGTAAGCTGAAAGGAGCATAATAAGCTGAAATTAGCAGAAAGAAGATAGAAGAAGCACAAAAATGTAGCTGACAGGAAAATTCTGAAAAGCGCACAAAGCAGCTGAAAGTAGCTGAAAAAGTTTAAATTTGCACAAGTAATCTGAAAGAAGCTGAAGCAGAACAAAATGTGAAAGGAGCAGTAAAAGGTTGAAAACAGATCTAAAGATCTGAAGGATGAGATCAATTCATTTCCTAGGCCAAATATTTCAAAAAGCTAAAGTTGCACCAATACCAAAAGTCATAGCACCCTTCTCCTGAAGGAGCTGAACGTTTTGATACCTACTGCTTAAATAGCTTAAAAACTGCAGGACGAGGGTCACGCTGAAAAACATACAGAAGAATTTAAGTAAGAATTTCAAGTATGATTGAGCTACAACTTTTTTTTTTTTAATCTGAAGAACCTAAATGGTAAATCCAAGCTAACGTTTGGGTTCGTCGCCTCTCCAGAACATTCCGGCTGCAGGAACGTTGTTTGTTAGCTGCAGATCACGCGCAGGAGCCGAGGAAAAATCGAGCTGTTGTCACTGGGAAAAGGCACGCTGCACAACAAGCTTTAATTTGTGCTCGTTGTGTTCGAGGGGCCTTCCTGCTGCTATCTGGAGGGGTCACCTCTGGAATTTGGAGCTGGAATGTCTTTGGAATGTGTCGGGAAGTGTGCAGCAGAACACCGCAGGGAGCTTTTTAATTTGAAGCATTTCCTCGTCGCTCCGCTTCTGTTTTCCCCGTTTGTGTTCAAACTATCTGAAAGGCTGCATAAATCGGTCGATACGCTACGATGACCTTTTGCTCTCCCGCTCCTTCCTACAGGGCAATAAAGGGAAAACTGGCGTGATCGTCGCAGCCTACATGCACTACAGCAAGATCTCTGCAGGGTGAGTGCGTCAGAGAAATCCAAACCCACAAGCTAAATTTCTGCTTCATTCCAACGTCCACACGTTGATCGCAGTAAATGTTGCCGAGGACAACGGCGCAGGGACGCAATACAACTCGGCCGTTCAACCGTTCATGTCCAGTAAGAATCCGCAACGTTTCACGGCGCATTCGGCGTATTTGAAACGTTAAATGATTTTTAATGCAGACTCGTTGGTTTGATGAATTGAGCTGCTGGGTTCTGCACAGGAACAGTGGGAGCAGTTTCATCCTGTGGACTGGGCCAGCTGTATCCTCTCCATGTGCTTTTGGAGTCTGATGCAAGTCCCACGATGGAAAATGGTCGACCCAAAGCTCAAAGTGTGTGTTTGTGTGTGTGTGCAGGGCGGACCAGGCTCTCAGTACTCTCGCCATGAGGAAGTTCTGTGAAGATAAGGTGTCCTCTTCCCTCCAGCCGTCACAAAACAGGTAGAGGTCACGGGATGATCTGAGGGGAGCTCAGGGTGGTGGGGTGGGCATCATACATCATGGATGACCTGATTTAATGCATCCTATTTACAGGAGAAGGAACAGGAAACAGCTCCCAGCTTAAACTACAACTGCTGGAATTATCTTTAGCCTCGAGCGTGTCACCGAGGCCTTTATGACACCGGATACACAAGTAGAGGCCACTGTTTAGGATTTAGAAGGCTGAGATGTGATTTATAAAACATTCCTGATGCATGCGCAATAATCTAAAGTCTAACCAGGTTCAGTCAGGTCCTCTGGACGGATTCTTCTTGTTGAAAACGTTCCGTCTTTTATCCAAAAGGCTTCTTCAGTCTGAGGAGCTGCAAGAAACTCAGTCTTATAAATAGCACCTTCTCGTAGTGGATCAACCAGTTTGCTGTTGACATCCAGAACCAGCTGTTCACATGATGAAGGACCATCAGCCTAACAACAGATCGTTAGTGCCCCGATGGCCACTTGCTATTCACAGAGAGCTGAGTGATACTAGCAATAACAGCAGTGTAAGAGGGGGACAGTTGCACATGGAAGTCTCCGCTCCTGTTTAATGATGGATGGGTTCTTTTCACAAAGATGGCTTCCTTCACTCCTCTCTCAAACCATCGTTCCTCTCTATCAAGGATGTGAACATCTTCACTGAACGAGTGACCTTTTAAAAACAGTTTCTGACTGATGCAAAGTTCCTTCGTTAAACTTGTGAAAAACTCTTTTAAAGGTTCCCAGCAGACGGTGTCATCTTTGTTTTTGTCTTGCAGGTATGTCTATTACTTCGGAGGCCTTCTCTCTGGGGCCATAAAGATGAACAGCAGTCCTCTCTTCCTGCACCAAGTCCTCATCCCATCGCTCCCCAACTTCCAGGGAGAGGGAGGTTCGTTGCTCTTTCTTTTTAAGCCAGATCCTAAAATAAACATTTCTTCCCGCTTCTTATGCGTAATTCTAAACGGTTTCCTCCCAGTTCTTGTTTTATCATTCTTCATCTTTGCTTACGTTATTTAGAACGCTCCATTCCTCCGATTTCTGCTTCAGTGACTTTAGCTGATAACAGCTGAAAAGTCTTCAATCACACAAACATCAGAGCAGTTTGAGAGCAGAAGAAAAAGCAACAAAATATGATAGAAATTCAGCTCACGACACTAAACGCTGTTCACATTTGTTGTCGTTTGTGAGTAATTTAGGAGCTATGAGACAGAAGTTCTTTACGTTTGTTGTCATTTTCAAGTTTTTGTATTTGCTCGCCACCACAATAATAAATCTGAAAATAATCACTGGATATACATCTTCAACTGGATAACTATTTGAGTCAGTCTGATTCAAGATGGTCGCCACAGCTGATCGACCTCAGCAGACACAAAAACTGCCGTCAGTCGGTCAGTTCTACAGACACTGGGCTCAGATTTGGTGTGGTAGTAGCTGAGAGTCATCCCCAACGCTCACTTTGAGCGTGCAAGATTTTTGCTTAAAGCCTCGCCATGCAAGGAACCCGACGATGCTTTCATTGTAAACTGGGTGAACAAAAGCAGGAAGTGAGGCAGAAGAAGACGGGAACGTCTCGTTCTTTTTAATCACTTGATGTAAAGTAGCTGAATAAAGTGCAAAGTTAGCGTATATTTAAATTTTATTTAAAAAAGAAATCGATCTCCACACTAAATTGCAAAAATAAAAATGAAGACAGTGCAGGGCGCCCCGCCCTGCCTACCGAACACCCCCCCACCCACCCCCACAACTGCTGGCACCAATGTAGCACTAAGCTAGCAGCGCACAATACAGACGCACTAGCTAAATGCTAGAGGTGGTGCTAAGATTCCCTCAAGCTGAGCTGTATTCCCCCACCCCTGCACGTGCTCTAGAGTTGCATCCAGGTCTAAAAAAAATCCGACCCAGCCCATAGCCATCATTTCCGAACCCCACCCAGTCCGACAAATTAACAGTAATTACTGGTTCAAATACCCCCCGACATTTTTAATTAAGCTTTGACTGCTTATATAGTTATTAACGGTCGGTGGACGCGCGCAGCTGAGTTAAAGGGGCATAAGATCGGAGCTAAGGGGGTGTTTGTCCTTTCATGGCCATCAAAGCTCATTAAATCCCCTCTGCCTGCAGCATTCTGCATTATTCAAACATGGACCCTGCTTTGACATTACGGATATTTTGTGATCTCACCTGTTTGGGTCGTTGGTCGCACGCGTCCGTTGAGTGCAGCGGCTGAATGAACGTCTGTTTGGGCGGATGGATCGCTGGCTGTAGTCCATCTGAAGTTAACTGAACTTTTTACCTCTTTCAAGGCCGGTCAGTGCGCGGTCAAATGGCCGCGTGCGGCTGGTGATGGTATAGCAAGCCATGTTGCCATATAATTGGATCGTCAGCCGCGCGTGTCTGCTGATGCAATCAAAAGCCCAACACCGACTCAGCCCGCACATTATTATGGACCAGACCGGCCCTAGTCCGGGTCGGGTGGGGCCGGGCTCCGGATTAGAAATGACAGCTCTAACGTGCTCGAACTTTCAGTGCAAACAGCGCAGCGGTACAACACGACAAGTAATGTAGGGGAAACACTGGAAGAGGTCCCGTTTCTTGACACGTTCCGTTTGATTTACCGAAAGGCAAATAAGGAAAGTGTTGATGGATCTGAACCGGACCTTCTGTCTCAAATCTATCCGGTCCGGGTCTCTGCATGTAGATAAAACCTGTATGAGATGGGATGTTCGGGTTGGCGAGGGTCTTCTGACAGGCTTCCCTCTGGATTTACAGAGGTGATTCTGGATGCAGATGCTAAAGATGGCTGCATTCCCTCTACACACACAAGAACACACACACACACACACACTTCTGTTTATCTGATGATCAGGTCCACAAGGAGAGGATGGAATCAGCACATTCCTCGCTGCACAAACTGATAAAATCCTCTCCTCCTTCTAGGTTATTACCCGTTCTTGAAGATCTACCAGTCCATGCAGCTGGTCTACACTTCAGGCATATAGTGAGTCTCTTTCTCTTATAAGGACTTTGTATAAAACTGGGGTGTGTTGACTCTGGGATGTTTTCTTTCATTACTTTGAGGGTTCAGCATCACAATTAAATGGTGTTTTTCTTCCTGAGTCCAGCTTTTATCACACTGTGTTTCATCTTGGTGCCTTTAAACATCCTTACTGCCAACTTCATTTATCATTTAAATCAGATGCTCCCAAACGTTTCAGCTTTTTGACGCACAGAATTAAAATATTAAAGAATCTTGACTTCTGCTATAGTATGTACGTACTGCTAATAAGCCATATAATAAAGATTAGTTATTGTTTTGATTTTTTTTTGTATCAGAAACTACATATGCTTTTGGCAGTCACATGTAAAGTTAATTTGATATCTGTAGATTATGTCACGACCCCCTCACATGGTGTTTCATGACCCAGAGTGGGGTCTCGACCACAACTTTGGGAACCACAGTTAGTTTGACACCTTAAAGAGCCTTTCCTTTCATTTCCACTCATTCCGTGGCGTCGTAAAAAGGTTCTTTGCTACCTTTTTGTCTTTCACAGTGACCTTCAAGGCACCGGAGGCAGAAGACTGTGCGTGAGCATCGAACCGGCACTGTTGCTGAAGGGTGACATCATGGTGAGTCAGACCAGGAGGAAACGGAAGACCCCCGCATATGTGTGGGGGTGTAATTATAACTTCTTTTTTTTTTTAATCATTACAAGCTGAGAAACTTCATCCCTAAGATAAATATTTTGATCTTGTTAACAAGGACTGGTAATTTGTCTGCGTCATCTGTGACGTGTCTTACTGCCCAGCCAACCTCGCTTTCTGCTGCCCTCTTCAGGTGAAATGCTACCACCGGCGAGCCCAGAGCGCCGACAGAGACACGGTGTTCAGGCTGCAGTTCCACACCTGCACCGTCCACGGAGCCCAGCTCTGGTTCGGCAAGGGGGAGCTAGACGAAGCTCACACCGGTGCGTTGATCCAGGGGGTGGATACGGTTAGGACATGGCATGGCAACCTGAATTTATCCACATCCCATTGTAATCCCTCCAAAAACAAAGTCTAGTTTCAAACTAAACTTTTGATTCATGAGAATAAACTTTGTTTTTTTTTATAATAGTCCGTCTCATTTTAACTTTACAAATGTTATTGTTTCCTAAACGCCTGATTTTTGCTTCTCCGGATGCTTTTATTGTAAACTGATGTTCAAACAGACACCGACTCGACAGCAGCCATTTAAACGTGGAATTGTGGGATTATATTTTCAGTGGTTTTGGCCTCATAATTCTGTGGCGGAATAAATCCCTAACAAGTAGCAGTTTGGTCCTCACCCTGGAAGTAATGACAGCTCCCAGGAGGAGAGTCCAGTGAGAATGAGATGCGCTACAAGCCACAATGACGGTGTGTGAAGAATAAAATAAAAATCACCGCTCTGAGAGAGTTTATGGTACACGCTTACTGGCTTTGCATTCCTTAAGTCGAAAATGAATGTGCTCGTTACTTAATTTCCCCCTCGGTTTCACGTTCCATGGCATAACGGATCATGTTTGTAGAAGGAACGTGATTTTCTGTACAAGAGATGAAGTATTAGATAAACAGAAATGTATGATTCTGGGTTCTTGTATCTCGGGATTCATGTGTGGAAAAAGTGAGATATTTGATGCTGGAGTTTGATGGGGTTTGCCAGAATGTACAATTTATATTTATAAATCTGCACCTTGTGTGACAATATTTGCTTTTTAAAACTGAGATCTAATTTACAGGCGTGTGTTTCATCTCTGGAAAGCTATTATTTTGGAGAGATTTGACGATCTTGCTCTTATTGAACGTTTGTCCCGTTTCTTTCCCTCAGACGAACGTTTTCCATCCGATGCCACCGTGGAGTTTGTCTTCTCCTCTGGACCTGAGAGGATCAAAGGTTAGTTGACCCCAAATCAGATTCAAGCAGGGCAGCGGAAGAAAGAAAACCTGGAATTAAACATCTCTTTCTCAGGACGTGAATACCACAAGAACGACCCGGCTGTCATAGTCGACTACAACACCTCTGACCCGGTGGTTCGCTGGGATTCTTATGAGAACTTCAACCAGCGGTACCAGGACAGCCTGGAGGGTAACTGTTGTTACTGAGACTACCGATGACCTGGAGTCAAATGTGTTAAAGATGTGGTGGAGATGGAATTAAAGAATCGGTTAATGCTATCGCTAGCATCCATGTGTTTTGGTCCTTAGATTAATAGACTCCTTTTGTCATAGAATATTTTATTCTCAAGCAGCAGAAAATTACCGATAGATAAAAATGGCTAAAAATATCTAACCTTTCCTATTGCGGTTGTTGATCCATATCAAGATTTATGTCAATGTTATACTTGGTCAAAGAGCCACTGCAGAGGAACAAAGGAACTGTAGGTTGCAAACCACTGTCCTAGACAATCAGAACCAAAGGAACATGAAAGAACAACAAAAAACTTAGTTAAAATTTGTTTCACTTTAAATAACGAGCACCATCGGATGAAAGACGACTTCCCTGTTGGTTTGTTTCAGATATTGCTCATACCAGAGGTCCTGTAGATGGCAGCCTTTACGCTCAGATAAAGAAGCGCCGAGGTCCCGGTTCCGATTCTCTGACCTCAACTAACGGCAGCAGCCCAGGAGGCGGCTTCTTAGAAGATCGGCCCGATCATATGATCACCCAAAGTTCTGACCCCAGCTTTTCACCCCACTCCCTCAATTTGAACCAATCGTGTATCCATCCCGACCACTCTGAGGAGCCCGTCCGTCCCCCGCCCCCGACCAGGCAGGAGAGGGAGGAACTCGATCGTCTCCTCGGAGGGATCGAAGGGAACCCAGATGGAGAGAGAGAGACCGCCATTTTGGATGATGGAGATTCTTGGCCCTCAGAGAGAAGTGGGGCGCTGCGGCTCAGTCGGTCGTGTTCGTGCAGGGACGGTTACCGCTCCCAGCGCTGTGCTGAACCGGGCTGTGACCGTACCCTCCTCATGCCTAATGGCTACTGCCTCGATCGAGCCCCTGGCACCAACGGTCATCACGGGGCGAACCCCCCCACTAGCCCAAACCCAGCTCCTCCGTCACACATGGACATGTGTCAGCATTACAGCCCACACACGCAACAGTCCCTTCCACCTCCGGATCTAGTGTGGGATCGTCAAAGTTACCCCTCTCACTTTTTACACCGTACCTGCTCAGAGGTGTCGTCACCTCGACATATTTGTCCATATCCATCACAAGACCTGACCCCTCACTCTCACAGTCATTCACACCTCCCCATGTCTGTCCCTGGCCGCCTCTGCTGTCATGAGGAGGCACCCTTTCACCATCCTCCTCCACCTCACAGCCACAACCATCCTCTCTCACACCCCTCGAAACCCTCCACCAGCCCGACTTACCAAGATATAATGCTAATGGATGGTCTACCACCCCCTGGCTGTCTTTGTAGAGACTGCAGCGTCAGGAGAGAAGACTCCGCTGCCTATCACAACTTGAGGCTGGACCGTGGGGACAGCTTCCACTGGGACAGGGAGGCAGAGCTTCAACAGAGGGAGGTGGGGCTTAGGAGAACCCGGGAGACTGAGTTACCCAGAGGATCAGAGATCCACTGGGAAAGGGATCCAGGGCTCAGGCGGGGCAGGGAGCTGTCACTCCACTGGGAACGAGACAGGGAGGCAGAGCTTCAGTGGGAGAGAGATAGAGAGGCTGAATACTGGCACAGGAGAGCTACCGTAGCCTCCTACGGCCCACAGGGACATGATCTGCCAGCCTTCACCTTTGACCCACTGCCGTCAGGCCACCCGGCTTATCCAGAAGCATCAAGGTCCCATGCTCATTCTCACCTGGATCTGAAGTACAGCAGCAGCAGCAGCGGGTACCAAACACCGCGTCAGGCATGCCTCTACTCACCGTACCAGCCCTCGCCATCTGAAAGCAGGGGCTACGCTTCAGGCTACCAGTCTGAGTCCACGTCTCCACTCCCTCCTGCCTCCTCTATGACTGGGTCCTGCAACCATAGCAATGGGCCAGCAGACCACAACCACCATCACCGGCATCCAGACTCGCAGCAGTCATACAGCCCTGACTCGCATACCGGTGAGTAAAACACTAATGTTTTTATTTACTAGGAATGTTGTGGGAATAAATTAGAAACTTTCTGAACACATTTGACCCCAACTGATTACTGTTCCCATCGTGTCCTTCTCTCAGATGGCCTTCGTAGTTCTGGGGAAAGCGTTGGCTGGAGGGATCACATTACCCACAGTTCCTTTAAGAGGGTCCACAGAGAAGGCCATGTCGCCTGCTCCACACCTTCTGACATGTCTGGACCTTCTACTCCTGTCCACACCAGTAGTCCTCTCCGAACGCAGGAGAGGTACTCCATGTTTGTGTTTTTACTTTGAGGGATAGATTGTGTTGCTTATCCTTTAGCATAGTTGGCAGTTTTATGGAGAGTTATCTAAGTTGCAGTCTTTGTTATGACTGGGGATCCATTTGCACTAAATGTTGAGATATTTGTCTGGGTACGAGTTCAAGATGGTGATAATGACGCCAAGTGCATGAGCTTTATGGTACGTTTTACTGGTTTTTAAAAAAACATTCATGTTATAATTTTGCCGGTACTGTGATTGGATCTTAATGTGTAAGTAACTAGAAGGGGTTGGGAAACATTTGAGTCGAGGAAACCACTGAGCTCAATACATATCAGTTGTTTTTTTCTGTTTTGTTTTTCTATTTGGTTAAGACACAAGGTTTGGTTCAGTTCTTTAAAATCCAACTATTGTTTAACATGAACTGATTGTAATGCATTGATTTCATGTCCACACTTAGTAGTGTAGAATCAGAGAGTGCTTTGTCTTTATGGAAATAATAACAACTGTGTGTTCGTTAAAGCCCCAGTCCAGGAAGGGGAGAATATGACATCCGGACCACAGACATCATCGGCAGTGACAACGAGGACTCCCCGACCCAGGACGAACACTTTTGTAACGCCAATGGAGTCCAGGAAGCTGTAGGAAGCTCCAACACCAGCCCAGAGCAGTCGTCTCTTGCACTCACCAAAAATACGCAGTCACAAACTGAATCCCCCGATCGCTGCGCAGCGCCAACTGAAGCTTCCCCCACCACCCCACTGCAGCAGCTCCGCAGCACAGATGCACCGTTAGATTCGTCGCCTGCGTCAAACCAGGGTCCCCCTTCATCTGCATCAGACACAAGCCCTCAGTCCAGACCACTTACTCCTCCAGCCCTGCGTTCTTCAGAAGATTCTGCTGTACCCTCTGCAGTGGTACAGCCTCAGACCCAGACCCAAGCCAATGGTTCTCCAGAGCCAACCTCTGTGCAGGTCAATGGATCTTCTCCAACGATGAAATCCCACCCAGACATCCACAAGCCCACCACCTCCAGTCCCTCGTCTGCTCTCGCACCGTCATCCCCGCAGCCAGGACCTGGCAGCGCAGATGGCTCACCGGTCTCTGACGTTCCAGTTCCTGGTTTTGCCACCCTGGGAAGGAGGTTAATGCTGAGTGGATCAGAAACCCACCACTCAAATTACCTGCAGCACCACGGACCCCCACATCACCACTACCCGGGCATGGAGCACAGCGTTGCCATGGATGCCAACAAAAGGCAATGTTACTCTGGACCCACCCCACAGCTCCACCCAGCCTCCTACTCAAACTACTCCACCATCTCCATCCTTCTTCCTCCCCCACAGCCGCCTTTACCGGAGAAGCGGTATCAGCCTGCTCACCCAGGTTCTCCCATCGAAGGGGTGAGACCATCCGGGGGACACGTGCCTCCCTCCACCACCCAGCATCACGTTACATTTTCTCCCAATGTGGGAGAAATTGCACCCCCTGCAGGCCTAAATGATGACATCAACCGGGTCAGTGTGAAATTTGTCCAGGACAGTTCGAGGTTCTGGTACAAACCTGCCATCTCCAGAGAGCAAGGCAAGCTCCTTAGTTCACTTGAGTCTTTCAGCTTATACAGGTATGAAGGTTGTAACGTTAATCTGTGTTTGGTTGAAGCGATCGCAGCTCTGAAGGAGAGAGAGCCGGGAACCTTCCTGATCAGGGACAGTAACTCTTTCCAGGGGGCCTACGGTCTGGCTCTGAAGGTGGCCACGCCTCCACCCAACGTGAACCACAGCAGCAAAGGTTAAATGATTAATTACATCATTTGATTTAAGAGCTCTTAGATCAGGTGCTCTAATTACAAAACCGTGATTTTTCTAGTTTTTAACAATTAAAACCTGGTTTTCCAGCGAGTGACCCTCTGGAGCAGCTGGTGAGACATTTCCTGATCGAGACGGGACCCCGAGGGGTCAAGATCAAAGGATGTCAAAACGAGCCCTACTTTGGTGAGTTGTCCGCTCCAATTGATAACAGTCCAGGCCCGTGTTCCACTTTTCATTTAAACCTTTATATACCTTTTAAATGTAATGTATTTTCCGCCGTAGATGTCGCACCGCCCAATAAGTCGCATCAGTCCAAATATGTCTAATAAAGTGGGAAAAATCCATAAATACATTGCATCTATCTATTAATTATTATCAGCTAATTATTATTATGCGTCACCGCTGACGACCAGGAATTGTGGGCAGGTGTGTCAAAAATAGATTGGTTTCCAAATGGCTGCTGCGGGAGCGTGCACGGGAGGACTTAACAAGAATTTAACAAGATTAACACTTAAAAACAATTATTTGTTTACTCAAAATTATAATAAAGGTTTGTCTCAGTCTAACTTTTGCTTAATAAATGCACTTTGATGATTAAATCAGCTGCATTTCAAAAGTATTCGCTGCCTCGGTGCTCCGGGAGCGCGCACAGGGAGAAAATCAGGAAGTAGGAACGCCGTGCATTTCTTCGAAATTTAACAAAATAAGCACCTAAAAACAATTATTTGTTTGCTTGACTTTATAGTAAAGGTGTGTCTCAGTTGAACTTTCACTTAATAAATGCACTTCAATGGTCAAATTAGCTGCATTTCACCGGCAGCGAAACGAAGCTGATTTTGCTCCAAGCGAGATGGACTAAGGTGGCAGGCTATGGCAAGCCGATTGTGTCATTAATAGCCACTTTACCTATTACATGACACAACATGAGTGCTATCTAGCAGCTGAAAATGTAAGTGTTCAATATTTTCAGTCAGAAAGAATGAAAACGATCATATCTCAGCTTAAAATTGGTTTATAAATATGGGAAAAAATCCATAAATAAGTCGCTTCGCCTTATAAGTCACAGGGCATGCAAATTATGCAAAAAGCTGTGACTTGTAGGCCAAAAAATACGGTACCTATTGTACTTATATGTACCTTATATACATTTAATTTATACCTTTTCATTTGGGCAGCCTTTGAACATTTTGGTACAGTTGATATTAAAATCATCATCAGTCATGTGCTCAGATCTAAAGCTGCTTCCTTGAATCCAGTTTCTACGTTCAATCAAATGATTTGTCATAAATCAAACTTCCGTTTGACAATAATGTCCTCATTCCATGACCTTTTTTTGATCCTCGTGTTTTTGTCAAAGCTCATGCAAAGACACACGTGATGAAACGCTCCAGACTTGGTTTAAAGATTAGATTATTTCACAGGAACATAAACATTTGGACCTGCAGTCATGTGGCTTTTTTTCTGTTTATAGTTTAGATTAACACTGGAAAGTCTTAACTTAATGAAAAATGCTTTTACGTGTGCTGCGTTCTCTTGGAAACATTTGTGTTGTTCTCCACAGGGAGTCTGTCTGCACTGGTCTATCAACACTCCATCACTCCCATCTCTCTGCCCTGCGCTCTTAAAATCTCTGAAAAAGGTTGGTGTGCGCTCATCTCTGGACTGTTTTCTTCTCAGAGCCTGAAGCTGAGATAACCTAGTTTAACACGCAAAACGTTGCTTTAATACAAGGATGTTTTGAAATATTTTATTGGACATAAAGCAAACGTTATGTCTTTGTCGTCAGATCTGGTTGGAGAGGTGCAGGAGGTTCAACAAGTCAGTAACATCAGTACAGCTGCTGATCTGCTCAAACAAGGAGCCGGTGAGTTCTTCTTCCTAAACATCGTTAGCTTAGCTCCAAAACAGGCATTTTATATATTTACATCCCACTCTGCTTACGAGCTAAAACCTGCTCTCAGGTCCAGCGTGTTCTGCGTTTCTGTGTCAAATATTAATCGGGCTCAATCAAATGCTGTTTTAACAATCGTTCAGTCTCACCGCGACTCTACTCGGTCTCTGTGATTTTCAATGTGCCGCCTCGATGTGGGCGGGATCGTCATAGCGAGGCTGCTCAACGACATCACCGTACTTTCAAAATGTCCACGTTCAAATCGAGCAAATACGTGAAACGAAGCACAAAACACTCACCATCCTCCACGGCAGGGGTGTCCACACTTTAAAATGACCAAGTGAAAGTGGGCCCCGTTTACACGAGAACGACCTCTGGAAACATTAGTTTTTTTTCTGTTTATTGGGGCTAATAAACAAAAAATGATAGGGTTTACATGAAAAACGCTGTAGTTTCCATGTCAGTCGGGTTGCCAGATAAGAAATGATGAACTATAGTACTGTGGTATTTTGACCTAAACTGTCATGTATGCTGAGTAAAGACATAAGATGAGGTGTGTTGAACATGTGCACAGAAAAGGAGGCGATAAATAAGACATTTTAAATTTATCTGGCAACCCTGATGCAGGGCTCAGTTGCATTCATTGTTCATGCAACGTCTGCATGACCGTTACGTCCAAACTGGTGAATGCACTAACGTCTCTTTGGAACTGGATTTAATCAGTTTTGCTCCTAGATGCTGAAAAAGGAAGAGCAACACAAAAACACTCTGCTCTCTGCCGTTTATTATAACTGTTGTTATATTTATCATAACTGTTGTTAGTGCATGTACGATTTCACACTTGCAGAACATTTCACTCATATGTGGGGGGTTCCCCTGAAAGTCCAGTCTGAGACCTGGATTCAGAAACCTTCAGTTTCAGAGAGAGCGAGGCTGTTGTCTGTAAATGAACAGCCGAACGTTTCGCGTCGTGTAAACGGGGCCTCAGACTGGCTGCCCTGTCTGTCAATCGAGAGACAAATTTCATACATGGATGACGTTTTTTTAATTCCATGTGATTTACACATAATACCTTTGAGCAGCAGATCGAGATCGACATATCAGGCACTCCTGCTCCTTGGGTTCCAACAATGCCACGGTTGAGTCGAGGCCTCCTTCACTCCGCCGGTCGAAGCGTGCAGATCGAGCCCGTGTGTTCTAGCTCCGTCTGAATTCAAGAACTGAAACGTCTGCACTCCCTCTGGACCAGTGTTGGTTTATGCGTCGCCATTTTAATGGATATGTTATTTAGGTCATCCGGTGAAAATCATCCAACAGAACGACAATGAAGCCGCGTTGAGTCGACCGGAGTAAGGTCGAGTCGAGCCCGAGGAAGAAGTCCGTCTGAAGTTTCTTTCTCCGATTTTGAAAAATCCAGTTTTGCTACAAACGCTCACAGACGGGAGGAGAACCCCGAAACGTTTCTATTCACCCTTTTCTGCTTTCAGCCTGTAATGTCCTCTACCTGAACTCTGTGGAGACCGAGTCCCTGACTGGCCCCCAGGCCATCGCAAAAGCAACAGACGGCACGCTGGGTCATAACCCCCGTCCAGCACCGACCGTGGTCCAGTTTAAGGTGACGTCGCAGGGCATCACTCTGACCGACAGCCAGCGGAGGTAAGACTCACATGAATGTTCATTTCCAAACTTCTTCTAGTTCCCTGGTTGAAGTTTAGATCTGTCAGATACATTTACCTCCTCTTCCTTTTTTCTTTTCCAAGGCTCTTCTTCAGGAGACATTACCCAGTGAACAGCGTGACCTTCAGCAGCATCGACCCGAAGGACAGAAGGTGAGAGAATACCTCGTTTTTTCACTCCATCTAAAACCGTTCATTGCTCTGTGGCTGTGTCGAAGCATGAAGGTCTGTCTGTTGTTGCCGCCTGTGAGCATGTTGACTGCGCCTGCAGCCGCAGCTGCGTCGGCTTGTTTGGCAGCTCCGCCTGCGTCTGCACGTCCGTCTGAGACCAGTCTCTGTCTCTTCTGTCTCTGGACTTTAGGTGGACTAACTCCGACAACACGACCGTTAAGTAAGTGAAATCATTTCAAGAATGTGGACGTGGGGCGGCGGTTTCCCCTGCGGCCGAGACATTAGTCCTTCTCAGTCTCTGCATGGCATCAGACTGCGTGCGAGTCGTGGCCGAAGTCGTTCAAGCCAACTAAATTTAATTATGAGCTTAAATAACACTAACTCTGTTTGAACTCCTGAAAAGGCTTTGTGAACGCTGATGTTTGCTGAAAGGAAGAAAACAGTTTTTAAAGCAGAACACTTAACTAAAAGGAGCAGAACATTACCTAAAAATAACCAAACATTAGCCAAAAGAAGCAAAAAAAAATGGCTATAAAAGGCATGACATTAGCTAAAACAAGCAGAATACCAGTTACAAGAAGGAAAACGCAAGCTAAAAGGAGCAGAACATTAGCTAAAAGGATCAAAAATTACTAGCTAAGGATAACAAAACAGCCAAAAGGAGCAAAAAAATCAAACTGCTATAAAAAGCTTGACAGAACACTAGCT